AGCAGAGAGACGGGTGCCTCAAATCCCTGAGTCCATCTAAGACTCTCAAACCCCATCAGGGGAGAGGACTCACAATCAAAATGCTTGTCCTTCGCTGAGGAATCCACTAGCTGAGCCCCTCTGCTCCGCATGAGCAGAGAGACGGGTGGCTCAGACCCTGTGAAGGATGATAGGGAAATAGGGAATTGCCCAAAAAGACTGACACAACCACTTTTAATTTTAAAAGAGGTAACTTCTCTGATATGAGGGAACATGTGAGGAAGAAACTGAAAGGAAAAGTAGAAAGGGTCAAAACCATTGGGGAAGCTTGGAAACTATTTAAAACTACAATCCTAGAAACTCAGAAAAAAATATATACCACAGGTTAGGAAAGGCACAAACAGGTATAGAAAAAAGCCTGCATGGTTAACAAACAAAGTAACGGAAGCTGTAAAAGGTAAAAAGGATTCCTTTAAGCAGTGGAAAGCTAGTCTCAGTGAGGCTGAAAAAAGGGAACACAGGCTGTGGCAAATAAAATGCAATTCTGTGATCAGGCAGGCAAAAATGGAATATGAGGAGCATATAGCAGGAAACCAGCCAGGGAGGCAGTGGGGCCCTTGGATGATCAAGGGGTAAAAGGAGTAGTGAAGGATGATAGGGAAATGGCTGAGAAGCTGAATGCATTTTTTGCCTCTGTCTTCATTGTGGAAGATGAGAAGTTCTTGCCCACTCCAGAACCACTGACTTCGAAGGGGGGGGGGTGTTGAAAGACCTGAGACAGATTGAAGTTGTCATGCCTGCCCCTGCTGATGTCATGCCTGCCTTTGCTGATGCCCCTGAACAGGCTCCTGAGGACCCTGAACAGGCTCCTGAGGACAGTACTGCAGCAGAAAGGCAAAGACTGGATCCTGTAGCTGAAAGCTATCTAAGTGGTGAGGAGGATAGAGCCTCCCAGGGAACACCTGCAAGGGATCAGTCTCTGCTGCAGCCCAGTAATTCATCATCAGACTCGCCTCCACCTGTAACCAGGCTCAGGAATGTAAGAAGACAACAGCTGAGAGAGCGAAGGCAGAATGCACGCATGCGTGCCAGAAGATCTCTTAGCCCTGATTACTGACAGGATCCTGTCCTCACTCCTGGCTAGCTAATGAGTTGATTAGCTAGCACTGTATATATGCAAGTCTGTTGCCAGCAGTCATTTGTGCTGGCAACGTCGTTTGTTCAGGACCTGAATCCTTGCATCTCTGCTCCAGACCTTGTGGAATTCTTCTCGGCTTGATCCTCGGCTTTTGACCTTTGGCTTTGTTGACCCTGCGTTCATCTCTGACTCCTCTGGTATTGTTGTGATTTATGGACTTGAAACTTTGGTATGTCTGACCCTGCTTTTGGACTGTGATTTAAACCTGCTTGAACCTTGCTACCTGATTTGCCCGGCTTGACCTCGGACTGTTCCTGGACTTTTGCTTGCTTGTGTCACGCCCCCTGGTCCTGCCGTGACAGATTGCCAGCACCCACAACGCTCACACATCCCCACCATGGAAGACGGAGCAACCGGAGGTGTGGACCCCATGGAGGAAATGCTAGCACAGGTACAGCACTTAACTCAAGCTGTGATTGCTTTGCAACAACAGGCTGCTACAAATGCTGTTGCTGTAGCAAATGCTGGTACACCTCCCCCACGTTGCCCAATAAATCCTCCTGATCGTTTCGGTGGGAATGTTGATGAGTTCCAGGCATTCCTTGCCCAATGTAATCTGTATATTGAGCTCAGGGCTCGGGACTTTGTTTCTGAGAAGGCTAAAGTTTGTTTCATTTTAAGCCTCCTTAAAGGGCAAGCTGCCAAATGGGCCACGCCCTTGCTGGTGGGGAATTCTCCCTTACTATCTGACTTCCAGGCTTTCAAGGCTCATTTTGCCGCTGCTTATGCCAATCCTGTGAAAGCTGAAACAGCTAACCGCAAAATAAGGGCTCTTACTCAGCATAAAACCTCTGTCGCTCAGTACACCAATGAGTTCCAGCTGCTGGCTCAAGACCTGACATGGAATGAGGCAGCGTTTATTGACCAGTATACTGAAGGGCTGTCTGACGAAATTCTAGATGAACTTGCACGCAGTGAACGCCCTGACACTTTACAAGCCCTCATCCATCTCTGTCTCCGCATTGATGGGAGGTTACAGAGCCGCCGCCAAAACAGAAAAAAGGCTCTCGCCTTCCCCAGCAGAACCCTTCAGACCTTCCACCGGCCTTCCTCCCCCGGCTCCTCTCCACCTCCTGCAGGCACAGAGCCCATGCAACTTGGCACCGCTCGGCCCCGCCTTACTTCTGAGGAGAAGCTGAGACGGCGCACTCAACAGCTGTGTCTGTATTGTGGAGAAGCCGGGCATTTTGCCTCCAGCTGCCCTGCCAAGCAGAAGCGCTCACCACAACCGGTCACTATGAAGAAAGGTTAAAGCACTTGGGGCTCTTTAGCTTGGAGAAACGACGACTGAGGGGTGACATGATTGAGGTTTATAAGATTATGCATGGGAAAGAGCAGGTAGAGAAAGAGGTACTTTTCTCCCTTTCTCACAATACAAGAACTCGTGGGCACTCCATGAAATTGCTGAGCGGTCGGATTAAAACAGATAAGAGGAAGTACTTCTTCACCCAAAGAGTGATTAACACTTGGAATTCACTGCCACAGGAGGTGGTGGCGGCTACAAGCATGGACAGCTTCAAGAGGGAAGTATATGGAGCAGAGGTCCATTGGTGGCTATTAGCTACAAGGTATAGATAGGGGCTCTGGGGCAAGTGATGCTCTTTATTTTTGGTGCTTGGGAGGGGGTCAATAGTGTGAGGGCTCGTAGTGTCCTGGCCCCACTGCTGGACCTCCTGATTTTTGCTGTTGTTCAGTCGCACAGTCGAGTCCAACTCTTCGCGACCCCATGGACAAGATCACGCCAGTCCCTCCTGTCTTTCGCCGTCCTCTGAAGTTTGCTCAATTTCATGTTCGTTGCATCTATGGACCTCCTGATATCACCTGGTATTTTTGGCCACTGTGTGACAGAGTGTTGGACTGGATGGGCCGTTGGCCTGATCCAACACTGGCTTCTTCTTATGTTCACCTAAGACCCTCACACCCCAGCAGGGGAGAGGAATCACAATCAACATGTGAGTTCTCAGCCAGGAAATCCCCTGAGTCCACCTAATACCAAAACCCCAGGAGGGGAGGGGAGTTCCCAATCACAAGGGAATGTGCTCTGCTAGTTTGCTTTTAAGAAGTTCCCTACTGAGAACAGCTGAGAGAAAAGAGGTTGCAGAGCTGAGCTGAGCATAAATATAGCATTCTGATCCCATAGAGTAGAATGGGAACTCTGTTATTGGCAGCCAGCAGTGCCTGTTAAACTTTGGAGGGCTCCTATTGGTGTTTCCAAGGCTGGAGAAATACACCCCCCTGTTGCCTTGGAGTTTTGTAAACAGTTAAATTGAGTGGCGACAGCCTGTCTGGAAATGTATCCATTCACTAACCCCCAGAAACAGCACCAAAGTTCATGAAATGTTTGCGCTGGGTGCCCTTCCATGAACATTGCTTTGGAAACCGTGAACCTGCCAAAATTTGTGATGAACTTTATTTCATGAACCAGTTCATGCCTATCCCTAGTAAGCTTCTTAAGAGATGAAGGCTGAGGAATCCTTTAGTTTAGATAATGACAACAATAGGACATAATAGGATGGAAGATAAGGATGACTTCTTGTTTGATAGTTCTAAGTGCATGGACAGCTTTTTGGTTAGAGACATGCACGAATCTAAGCCTGAAGAGGCTTCTACAGTGGCTTGGAAATCATGAGTAGGAATGGGCATGAACCGGCTCACTAAGGTTTGTGACAAATTTTGGCCGTTTGGTGGCTCACAAACTGAAGTTTGTGGCAGGTCAACTGGCACGAACTTTCCAGCGATTTGTGGCAGTTCATGAATGGATATATATCCAGAAAGTCAATCAAAATGTTTACCAAACTGTACAGGCAGGGTGAGGTTCCCTGTGCGTTTGGTATGTGTAGCTCTTCGTGTAGTCATATCCATTATTCTGCAAGATTTTAAAGTAGCCATCCTGTGGGAACTAGGCATGTGATTTCTAGATTTTCTTTCATATGTATGATCAAGCTATCAGAAGTCTTGTTTGGATATTTGACCTATAAACATTTGAGTATGGGGGAGCAGAAGATCAAGATCATGTCCCTTCCAGATTTCTATTGGTTTCAGTATCCTGTTTTCTGTGCATGGTGGCAGCCATGTTCATGATGGTTACTTTCTCCTGCACTGCTGCAAGTCAGATCAGAACCACTCATACAGAGGTGTCCAGCAGTGGTACAGGAAGAGATGGCAGAGAAGCTGCCACCCCTCACTGCTGGCCAGGTCTGAACTGAGTTATCCTATGACACTGTGTCCCTGGGGCTTGGTTTGGCTTCCTTCTGGCCACCAGTGGCCCTCCAAGGCAGCAGCCCACTGAGGATTTTCCTGCCCCTCATGAAAATGTTATGTAATTAAGTTTCTTTTTAGTATCACTAGTCTTTTTACCCCTTCATCTTCTCATTCCAAACTCTTTTTTGAACTTTATTTTTGGGTTGGCACAATGAGCCTGATTTGGTCTGATATGGTTTTATTATGCATCTCCTCTCGTGTAATTATGTAGATCAGCCTATATAATTATGATGTATCTTATACTCAGGTTCATTGCTAGCACAAAATAATATGCTTTTGTATTTTTGCACAAGCTGACTCACATCTAATAAGTAATTTCATCTCTCTCTCCCATTTTATTTAAAATAGTTTTACAATGTCTATGCCTCAGTGGTGGTGTATACGGAATTAATTATATCTTTCTTGAACTGTTCCACAATATAGTGTTCGTTAACTTCGTTCTACTTTAGGAAATGAAGTTGAGTTAAAGATAGGTGTTGACACACTGATCATTTCAGGAGTATAATCATTGGTAACAATGTGCATTTTTGGTGTCTGACAAGAAAATTTGCAATTCTCCAGGATGGAAGAACAAAGAATTCTAAAGCTCTTTGGGTTTGTTAAACGTTGCATATCTTTGAATCTTTCAGGATCTAGATTTCTCATCACATCCACGGGAGCCTTGTATATTATAGATGTACAGAATGAAGATGGATTGTATAATTATCGATGTATCACACGGCACAGATACACTGGAGAAACACGGCAGAGCAACAGTGCTAGACTTTTTGTATCAGGTATGAAATGACACTGACTAATCCAGAAGTGGTTTAGTTTCTCTATATCTTACACATAAACCATCTTCTTGGGAAAACTTCTATATATGTATTGCTCTGATAAGTTATTTGCATGTTGACATCTTTGGAGACACAGATCAATGTTACAGTTTCTGCAATATGCATTATTTGCTGAGCAACCTCCATTAATATGTTGAACATCCAGGGCTTCGGAAGGAGAGAAAAGTTGGTGCAAAGGAGGAATCGTAATTTTGTATACAATGTGGTAAAGTGGTGGGTTTTTAAAAGGCCTTTGCAATTGTTCTAGATATTATGGATGGTCCCCTAACTCCAATGAGGCGACTGGAAACTTTTGTAAATATTCAGAGATAACATTGGGTACCTTATAAAATAAAACATAATAAAAACATAAAAGTTATTAAAATGTTTAAAAGCATTTTAAAAACACAAACCATAAAACAACATAAAATATGGAACAGATATAAATGATTCTTAAACATTTCTCAGGCTAAAGCAGTACAAAATAATGTTTGAAAATCCAACCTCTTAATTAATAGCTTGAGTAAACAGAAACATGGCTTTGAGAGGAAGGGTACTGAAAAAGCCCTGTCTCTGGTCAACCCTTGCCTCATCTCTGAAGGTGGGGGCACTAAGAGTTGGGCTTGTAAGGAAGATTTTGGCTGGTTGACTAGACAATATGAAAGGGTTGGCTTTCAGGTACCTCAGCCCCAAACCCTGCCATAGCACTTTGCAGGGCTATTTTTGGGCAGGAACGCACAGGAACGGAGTTCCGGCTGGCTCCCAAGTTGGCCACACCCAGCAGGAACTCATTAGCATAATAGGCCACACCCAACAGCAGAAACTCATTAGGACTGGCTACATTAAGGGGTGTGTGGCCTAACATGCAAAGGAGTTCCTGCTATAAAAAAGCCCTGGGTTTTGACAACAAACAAGGTAAACAGAATAAGAAGCAAAAGGTGAGTGTGTCTGGATGACCACACTTCTGCGAACATGGGGTATGTAGCTTAATATGCTAATGAGCTGTGCTGTCAGGGGTGCGTCCTAATAAGCAAATGAATTTCTGCTGTTGGGTGTGGCCTATTATGCTAATGAGTTCTTGCTGGGCTTTTTCTACAAAAAAAGCCCTGGCACTTTGAATTGTGACTGAAAAATGATGGGTAGCAACTACAGAACTTTCAGTGCTGTGGAGATACCATCCCCCCCCCCCCCCCCCCCTCCCCCCACCCTCCCCCCCCCCGCCCAACTGTACCTTGGCTCATTTTGGATCAGCTGAAGTTTCTGGACCATTTTCAATGGCAGCTCCATGTAGAGTGCATTGCAATAATCTAACCTGGATATAATCAGAGAATGGATCACCATGACCTGATAATGTTAGGAAGGACTGTAGCTGATGTATCCACCAGAGTTAATAGGAAGTGCTAAGTGCCATGAAAGAGACCTAAGCCTTCAGGCAAAGGCCAGGATCCAGCTGCACTCCCAAGCTATGAAGCTGCTCTTTCAGGGGGAGTGCAGTACTCTCCAGAACAAGCTGACTCTGCAGTCCACAAGCGGATCCATTCTTCATGTTCTTACAATAAGTACATTGGTGAGCTACTTGCAGTCCTCAATAATTCGGTGGTGGAGCATGGTGGTACAATTTCACACGTTTATCTCTATATAATGGTCTGAGTTACAGACAGGTAGATAGTTTTAATTGTTTTTATGATGGCTTTTTATAATACTTTTTTTTATTTTTTAACCACCATGGTGGCCCTAATTGGGCAGAAAGACAGGGTACACATTTGGTAAATAAATACATAATAAAGAACTATGTCTGTATTCCTTTCTAGATCCAGCAAATTCTGCTCCATCTATTCTGGATGGGTTTGAACACCGTAAAGCCATGGCAGGACAGCGAGTGGAGCTGCCTTGCAAAGCATCTGGACACCCAGCACCAAAGTACCGTTGGCTGAAAGACAACGTTCCCTGGGAGCCTGACAGCAGGTTCCGGCTGACAGTGACAGGCCTGCTGATAGAAAACACACGCCCATCAGACTCAGGCAACTATGTGTGTGAAGTCTGGAACAATTATGGTACAGCTGAGGTGATAGGCCGCTTACACGTGAAACGTAAGTGCATTGGTGAATACACAAATGTGTCACAGAGTGACACAGAATAGACGTACTTATAGTGGACTTGCATGGAGGATATTTGTTTTGTGTTACAGAAAAAAACAGTCAAATATTTGGCAGCAGGAGCTTAACATACAAAATGTAAATAAAACCACTGTATTATCCATATGTCAATAAAGCAAACAAAAGAGAAGGCTAAATCTGTATAAACTACTGTGTGCAGTTTTGACATTGAAACTGATGGGAAATCGCCCATGTAATATTTTTTTTAATCCCTTCCTTTACCACACAACTCGCATGTCACCCAGTCCCAGTGGCCACCACTGACAACTCACCACTATTCGACAGGAGCCACTGCATGAAAGCCAGTATGGTGTATTGGTAAGAGTATCAGACCAGGATTTCAGAGACCCAGGTTTGAATCCCCATTCATGAATAGGTGACCTTGGGCCAGTCACTCATGATCGGCACTCAGCCTACCTCACAGGGAGGTTGAGGTGTGAGCATAAAATTGAGGTGAGGAGAATCATATAAGCTGCTTTGGGTCCCCATTGGGGAAGAAGACAGAGTATAAATGAAGAAAATATTTATTTATTTTTTATTTTATTTGACTTATTTCCCGTCCTTCCCGCATGGCAGGCTCAGGGCGGGTTACATCAAATTTGATAAAAAATACAATATACACAATTAACACAATTAAAACACTAGTAAAATACCACAATGGCCTTCATCCAGTGCTATTGTCATTGACATTAAAACCTCATGGATGCCAACTCTGGCATGCAGTTCTGACCCGTTAAGGGGAGGCCCAGTAAAGAGGGAGGGACATCTGTCACCCTAGTTAAAAGCCAGGCATATGAGCTCCATCTTGCAGGCCCTGTGGAACTGTAAAAGGTCCTGCAGGGCCCTGTCCAGATTTTTTGGGTTAGGGTTGCTGCATTAAGTACATGGAAGGAAGAAGCATATCTCTAATCTGTGGCAATGGCAAATATATATAATGGGAAGTCCTGGGTGTTTGCTGAGGCCTAGAAAATGTTGAGAGGCCAGTCAATATCCCTATGTATTATTTGATGCTGCAAACTTCATTAAATGATGCCAACAAAGAATGAAATTCAAGCGAGTGTTCTTAACATGATGCCACTTGGAAAACAATGGCTCTCTAAGTGACTGCTGCCCTAAGTTCACATGGAGAAAACCACTGCTTCCTTCCTTGTACCTGCTTTGGTTCCTGCTATCTGTGTGCAGCTGTGGTTTATAATACATGCTCACTGTGTATTTGAATCATTGTAGTACTCCCTCCTCTGTTACTTTCATTCTGAAGTTCTGTTTCTCATCTGTTCCTTCTTTTTTGTGTAGAGCCTCTCAAAGCCACAATCAGTCCACGGAAAGTTAAGAGCAGTGTGGGTAGTCAAGTGTCCTTGTCCTGCGGTGTGACTGGAACCGAGGACCCTGAACTCTTCTGGTACCGGAATGGAGAAATCATCAATCCTGGGAACAATGTGAGGATCATTGGGATCAATCATGAGAACCTTATTATGGACGGCATGGCAAAAAGCGATGGTGGGGCGTACCAGTGTTTTGTACGCAAGGACAAGATGTCCGCGCAAGACTATGTTCAGGTGGTGCTAGAAGGTCAGTCATTGCCTGTTGTAGGGTATGCTCTGAACTGTGAAGCATTCTGTCTAAAAATGTACATTACGTTCATACACAGACTAATACATTCTTGGAAGTTGCGAGGCTATTGGGAGGATAAAATGGAGGAAAGGAGAACAATGTAAACTGCTTTGGGTTCTCACTGGGGATAATGGAGGGATATAAATTAAGTAAATAAGTAAATAGAGCTGGGGGGAGGGGCCTGACCCAAGTAGAGCATGAGCAATTATACAAAACTGGCTTCAAAAGTCATAGGATAAGTTCATAGCTATTAAAATAATGCTTACATTATATAGTAGCAGTAGATGAAAATCAGAGATCTGTTCTAGGTGGAGGTGAAGTGTTAGCATGTTCCTTTTTTTATTTGTTGAATATCAGTTTTCCAGTGGAATCCTGAACAGAATTACACCCTTCTAAGCCCATTGACTTCATATGACTTAAAACGGTCCTATTATACTTAGGACTGCACGGTCAGTGAGGACAGCAAGCTCAGTAGTGTGGCACCTTGGCAACTGGCTCTGTATCTGCAGCCTAACACAGTAAAATTACATTGAATATTTGAATTTTGCTGCAGGATGGACAAGAGTGGCATTGTATGACTCTAGCCAGCTAGTACTGGGTAGGCACACACACACAACAGCTTCAGAGCTGTTTTTTAAAAAGCATCGGGGCAGTTTCTGCAAGCTATGGAAACTTGGAATTTCCATGGCTTTACTTTTTGAAGGTATATATGCATTCTTAATTTGACCCAGATTTTCCAGGCAGTTTTCACAGACTCAGTCCAGCAGTTTTATACCTTTGATTTCTTAGCCTATTATGTGTGAGAATTCTTGCTAGAAGGTACAGTGGTCTTCTGGAATATGTGTGAAGACCTGGCCTTCTTTGTTATATACAAGACAGTGAATGAACACCAAAGTGTAACAAATGGCTAGTATCAGGGTCTTCAAAATCAGTGTGGATGTTTTGTTAAAAATTCTAAAAACAAAGAATTGCATCCCTGCTAACCATTGCATTTTTTAAGGCAAGGAGAGTGAAACCCTGATGTTCAGATATGCATACAGATGGGCTCATGAACTAAACTGGCTCATGAACTAAAAGTTCATCACAAATTTTGGCCAGTTCATGGTTCATGAAGCAATATTCATGGAAGGATACCTGGTGTGAACATTTCACAAACTTTGGTGCTGTTTGTGGCAGTTTGTGAATGGATACATTACCGGACAGAATGTCTCCTCTCAATTAAACTGTTTACAAAACTCCAAGGCAATAGGGGGGCAGAATTCTCCAGCCTTGGAAACACCAATTGAAGCCCTCCAAAGCTTAACATGCACTGCTGGCTGCCAATAACAGTGTTCCCATTCTGCTCTATGGGATCAGAAAGCTATATACAGGGGTCATTTCGTAGAAAAAGAAGTGCAGGAGCTCATTAGCATAACTCATCAGCAAAACTTATTTGCATATGCCACACCCCCTGACATCACCGGATGTGTGTCAGAAGGCAACACCCACCGCTCAGGCTCCACTGGACTGTTTTGGATTGCTAGCTATTGGGGGGGGAATGTGCAGATCTTTCCTCGCAGAGGAGGGAGAGCTTGTACCTGAATAAAACGTGGTCTTAACGGTGCCACTGGACTGTTTTGGACCAGGGGGCTGGGGGGAGCTCTGATACTTACCTGGCTGCTTCTTGCTCTGACTGAGGGCTGCTGGGAGCAGGAAGTGGGGCTTGTTGCAAGTGCCCACCCCCTGGGCTCTTTACTGCCAGAGCTCCGCTCCTGTGCGCTCCTGCAGGAAATGACCCCTGGCTATATATATGCTCTGCTCAGCCCCACACCCTTTTATTTGTAAGCTGTTTGCATCACAGGTACACAGAGAAACAGGGAATTTGTTAAAAGCCAACTAGCTGAGCGCATTCATTTATTCCCTCCTGATTGTGAATTCCTGTCCCCTGCTGGGCTTTGGGTGTTAGGTGGACTCAGGGCTCTGAGCCACCCTGTCTCTCTGCTCATGCCGAGCAGAGGGGCTTAGCTACTGGTGCCTTGGCTGAGTGAGGACACATGTTTTATACCCTCCTGGTTGTGAACTGGTCTCCCTGCTGGGGTTTGGATGTTAGGTGTCCTCAGGGCTCTCTGCTACCCTGTCTCTCTGCTCATGCTGAGCAGTGGGGCTTAGCTACTGGGTGTCCTGGCTGAGGACCCACATGTTGATTGTGATTCCTGTCCCCTGCTGGGGTTTGGGTGTTAGGTGGACTCAGGGCTCTTTGCCACTTGTCTCACTGCTCATGCCGAGTAGCTCAGCTGAGGACTTACATTTTATACCCTCTTGACTGTGAACTCCTTTCCCCTGCTGGGGTTAGGATGTTAGGTGGACTCAGGGCTCATAGCCATGCAAGAATGATCGGGCCAGCCTTGCATGACCAGTACTCTGCCAAATTCTCCACCATTGCATGCCTGGCATCCCTACCACTGCTGAACTCCCAGTTCACTGCTGACAACCAGTAGTGGGGCTTTTCCCTAGTTGGGTTCTTTGAGGCAGAGGTGCTGGGCTGCAGCTCCTCCTCTTCCTCCTACCCAGCCTCTTTCACCTGCTGTTGGCCTGTAGCCTCTGCAGTCTTTTCAGAGCTCACACTTTCATTGGAAGAGATCTGCATTCAGGAGAGTAATAGTGCCTTTTATCTGGGGGTGTCATGACCCCCTGTGGGTCTCCACCTTACGCCACCACCACTCTGGACTTCGGGTCCTTTGAAAAGGCCCAGAGTACCCTCCCAAGCCCATCCAAAAATGCCCCCTTTTAAGCTGAGAACATAGGAGTGATGACCAATTAAACAAAATGGTTTATTAACACAGTACTGGGGCAAGGAAAACAAGACAAGGTGCTTTAAAAGATACAAGAGTGTTTAAAAGGCAAAATAAACACAATCCTAATGCGACTACCTAGTTCACTTGACTAGTTCCTACTTCAAGGCCCACAGCCTGCCAGGCTACGCTACCTGTTCTCACACTGTCCCCACTGCGGGATCTTCCTCTCACCAGACCAGCCTGTCCCCTCTGTGAGACCAGACTTCAGATGAGAAATGAAAGAACACTATTTTTCACAGTTAACAGCTTAAGTGAGAATCTCCTCACAGAATCTCTGGAAACTGATTTGCTATAACCCTCTCTAAGCATTATGTGGATTGTAAGCTGTCTACTTTCCACTCCCACACTGGTCTCTCCTGGGATGAGGCCACACTAGGCCTTGCTCCCAGTCCTGCACAGATCATGACAGGGGGTCACAGTCTATACAGGCCAGCTTGTACTCCCCTTTATTGCAGAAAGGATGCAATCTGGTGGTGATGCCCATCTGCAACCTCCAATTCCCTGACCCATGGAAGAACAGTCAGCTCCAGTGTAGAGGCCAGTGCTCAGTCTAGCCCTCAAATCAGGGGTATGACTTGCCCCAGGCTGGCCCTATGGGCATGCAGCATGACATTGGTGTCCTGGAATGCCTTGTGGACATGCACCAATTGGGAGAGAGTCAGCCAGTCATTGGAGCTGATACTGAGCTCCTCTTCCTCATGGGGGATGATCATGGAGGAGATGACATCCTGCATTATGCTGTTCTCCACAAAACACACAATCATGGCATAGGTGGAGTTCCTCATCCCCCTCCCCTTGCCTCTTGTGTAGCAGATGGGCAGACTTGATGCTGCATGAGAAGTCCAGAGCAAGGACTGTAACTTGAGGGGGCAGTGTCCCAGGTGGACTTGATCATGCTCCCCAGCCCCAGAGCATTCTTCACCACCGGGTGAAGTGTGAGTGCCAGGCAGATGATGCCCTTGAAGAGCACACGCTTCACTTCTGCCAGCATGTTGGTGCCAGTGTCCATGACTATGTAGCCACAGACAATGTTGCTGCTGCCCACCCACTACCTCAGGCTCCTCTGTATCACACAGCAGTGATGTTTTGCTCTGTGAGGTCTGCATCCATCCCCTGCACATGAAGCAGAACCACTTTGTAGCCTGGTAACAGCACTGTTCCCTCTTGGGGTTTGGGCCATGCCCCAACAGTCCTGCTGGCTGCTCCAGAGGTCTGCCTTGAAGTGCATGGTTCTGCCTTGCTCTCTGGAGAGCTGAGCCATGACCATCACCACTGCAGCTGGTGAAAGGCTACATTCTCCATGAGGGCCATGGAGGGCCATCCACAGCAATCATCTCACCAATGAGGCAAGTGACTCCTTCCTGGGCGCTCCTTGTAGCACTTTTGACCTCTTGGAGGGTGGCTCACTTTGATGTCTCACCCACAACAGCCCGAGTGTGGGGAGCCTTTCTTGGCAGGGCCTCCCCCTCCCTCTCTGCTTCTCCCTGCCAAGAGGGAGTAGGCATCTTCTTCCTCCCGCTGGCCACCACTACTTCCCCCAGCACCTGGAGAATGCAGGAGGACAAGTGTTGGGGTGGGATTGCACCCCTCTGGACATGGGCGTGGCACACCTGGCACTCTGCCACATAGAGGTCATGTGGAAATGTTTCCAAACTGTGGCCCCAGGATTGGAGAAGGTGGGAGGCACAGTTGCTTTCTGGTGTTTGGCTGGGAGGGGCCATGGAGGGGTGTATTCGAGGCAGGAGCAGCAACAGGGAGTTGGGATGTGGAAGGGGAAGATGCTTCCCCCCACCCTCTGAATCATTGCTGTCAGAGATCTCCTCTCCAGAGTGTTAGCAACTGCTGGTGTCTCTGGTTAGTGCTGCTAAAAACTCTTTTCTCTCCGTTGAGAGCCCCAAGGCCAGGAACAGATCAGGGCAGGAAGCTCTGGCAGGATGGGTGCTCGGAGATGGGGGTCTGTGGTATGCAGGTGTGGCGGACTTCTTCCCCCCATAAGAAGCACCCTTTGCATGGTCACACCCACTTTCACCCTTATGGCTTACAGAGGTCTTACACTCAGGAGGGGTGGGAGGGCATAAATGTGGGAGACCTTTTTTTGGGTGGGTCCATAACTAGGACCCCAGA